CCAGGAAGTATATAGTCCAGAATGCCGTTCTTCCAGTTTGTCCCTGGGATAGCATTGCAGGTAGGCCACACCCCTGGGGAAACTCCCCCTAGGCCGACCGGCCGCTTAGAACGCAGTCATGTGATCCATCATGGGAACCACCACTCACAACTGGAGTCCAGCCAAGTTGACACATCTTCAACTATCACAGTCTCCATTTTAAAAACATCTAAATTTGCCTTGCAGAAATCTTCAAAAAAAGGGGCATACCAATGATTTGCATGCCTGTTCTTCCTTCTAAGGCCATGCATGAAAATGGCATGTGTTTTACAATATAATAACTTAGGGACTGAGATAGAAGAATTTAAGAAAGGAGAGTTAAAGATACTCACTTCCACCTTCCATTATGCCTACCCCTCCTCCCCTGTTGCACTCCAGCCCAATTTCTTTCAGGCTCTGGCTCTTAAAATCAGTGCTTTTCTCTCTTATTGAACTTTGCTATTAATTCTGGGGTAAAATGTTATCTGACTGTTGTTTTGATTTGCATGTATTTAACGGCTAATGATAGTGAGCATTTCTTCATGTGTTTGTTGCCCACCAGAATATCTTCTTTGGTGAAGTGTCTGTTCATGTCCTCTGCCCATTTAGGGACTGGAACCCTTACACACTGCTGGTAGAACTATAAAATGGTGCACCACTGTGGAAAACAGTATGGCACTTCTTCACAAAGTTGGAAACAGAAATACCATTAGATCAAAAAATCCTACTACTAGGTATATATCTTAAAGAAGTGAGAGCCAGGACATGAATAGACAGATATATGCACACCCATGTTCATAGCAGCAATATTCACAACATCAAAGAGATGGGAACAATCTAAGTGCCCATCAACAGATGAATGGATAACCAAACTATGGTATATACACCACAATGGAATACTATGCAACATTAAAAAAAAAAATGAAGAATCTGTGAAACACCTCACAACGTGGATGAACTTAAAGGACATTATGCTTAGTGAAACAAGTCAATCACAGAAGGACAAATACTGTATGAGTCCGCTACTATAAAAATCAAGGAAGGATTTACACATGGAAGGAAGCTTTCTTTGTCGGTTACCAGGGATGGGAGGGGAGGGAAGGGAATACTGCAAGCTAGGTAAGAGACACATAATGATTTGGGTGAAGGAAAAGGCAGTATATCAAAAGCAGGTGACCAGCATACTATCAGTAAGGAAAAGGAAGGCATGGAGAGGTGTTCAAGAGGTACAAAAAGAAAGACATAGGAAAAAGGTAACCATGGGGAAGAAGTGGGAAGAGAGTCATTTCATTGTGGGGGTTTCAATTAATATCATGAAACAAAATGTGTATAAACTATTGAATAGAAAATGAATTTGTTCTGTAAACTTTCACTCCAATCACAATAAAAAATTTTAAAAAATCAACAGTTTTCTTTTTGTGAGTGAAAGCACCTCTAAAATATAAGACTATGATTAAAAAAAAAATCTAATTTCTGCAGGACACTGAGCAGGTAATTTCCTCTCTTCTAATCTCTGTTATTCAGGATGGCAGCACTGTCTCTGCGATGTGGAACACCTACCTCTGCACACCCTGCAGCAGGAATCCGGAACAGAGACTGGGAAGGCACAGGTTAATTTAGGGCAAGTCTTGAGACCACAATACACATTTCCCTCCTGCCAAGGAGAAACAGAATTGAGATCAGAAGAATCTGGGACACATGGAAAGGCTTAGCTCAGCACCTAGGACAATTGGGCGTCGAAACATGCTCTTCCACAGTCAATTCTAGGTACTTCCTAAATTCTATTGCACATCTTTTTTTCTATCTACTATGTATTTGCATGCCAGAGACTAGGCCACAAAGAGTTAGTGATAATCCCATCCTATTTTGGCATCCTGCCTTAAGGTGGTACGAAATGCTTGTGTGAGGACTTTCATGGGGCCTCCAAATCACCAAATATATTCTTGCTCCTCTTTTCTCTATTCACTATATTCCTTGGTCCCCATTGTGCCCCAGCTGAGATGTTGGAGTTTTAAGAGAATGAGGATTTGGGGGGAAAAGAGAGAGAGAGAGAGAGAGTGAATGAGGATTTGTGTGACAGCTGCCATTTGTACCATTCACTAGAGTCTGTCTTCTAACTCAAAGAGACAAGGTCTGTGGAGCAATTCCAGACTATAAAAGACTATGTGAATTCCACAGCTCAGTCCAGGCAAGGGAGAGGATCAAATTTACTTGCTGGTTATGTCTATGTGTGCACAATTTCCATTCTCTAAAATTCTATGCTGCAAACATTGCTCCTTAAAACTTGTTCTTTGTTCTTAGAAGCACATTCTTCTAGGGCAAGTAGGGTTCCTGAAAGTTCATTAGGAAGGCATGGTCACAATCAAATGCTTCAAAACTACTGAGACACTAAATTTTCACTAAAAAAATATCCCTAAGGGAAGAGATTCTATAACTTACCTTGGCAATTCCATGTTTAATGTCCCTTGTTGCTGCTGTTGTTAGTTGCTGTAGCATTGATTCCAACTCATGACAACCCCATGTGTGCAGAGTAGAACTGTACTCCATAGGGTTTTCAAGGCTGTGACCTTTGGGAAGCAGATCATCAGACCTTACTTCCAAGGCACTTCTGTGTGGGTTTGACCTGCCAGCCTTTATGGTTAGTAATCCAGTGCTTAATCATTTGTACTACCCAGGAACTACTTAATGCCCCTTACAGGTAGAAAAGTATATATATATATTTTTATGTCTATCTTCATTCCTTCATGCTTTAGTTTAAAGACCCATTTTCCCTCATTTTCTGATTCTATCTGTTACATTCTCTGGACTACACAATTATATAAAGATTTAATTGGTATACTTTATTCTGGAAAGACATACAGTTCTTTTGATAAATAATGTCACAGGAATCATCATGGTCAGGCATTTACTGAGATTTTTCTCATTGCAAGTCATCATAAATGAACTGTTAAACAGAAGACTTCAGATATGTGAACCAATAGGCTCCCCCTTTTCTTACAAATTGAATCCCATGGCCCTAGATGGTGACTTTTTCCACTCATAGTATGTATTCCTAAGGCTTCTAGTATTTGGAGTCCTTCAGAGGAAAGCTCTGATGATGTAACTATTGTGAAATGAGGTGCAGATCCAGCACCAACTCATCTTTACCTATTCAAGTAGCCTTAAAGCTTTAAGACTGGGATGTGATCTGACCCCTTCACACAGAATTGTTCAGGGTGAATGAAGATCAGGAAGTCTGAACTGGTAGGGAAGATTACAAGTTGGAGGCAATTCAGCTTCCAATCAAACACACTACAGTATAGACTCAAACTAAAGGCACGAGGACAGAGGAAGCTCTCATTTTTGGGGCTAGCAGAAATATTAAGATTCAGGGTCTTACCGAACAGCTGCACTGGGTACACTGATTGGGTTGCCGGTTCTGAAAGAGCCCTTCAGCCACAAACAGCTCACCATGTTGGTAAGTGGTCCCGTTGTACTCACATGACTTGCTGGTCACTTTATTGTTCACTGAAGGTAAGGAGTCTTCTGGGACAGGGTGAAGAAAAAACACACCAAGTATTGACATCATTGCAAAGAATATCATAAATCCCAACAGCAGATGGGGCTGTACTACATAGAGGGAGTTAAAAGACAATCCCTGCCCCAGTGGCTTATGATTTTAGGTAATATTAAAGCAGCCAGGTGAGAATAGCAGATGACATAATCATTCACCCATCCTTTCATTTATTGTGTATTTATTAGGCACCTACCATGTGCAAGGCACTGTTCTAAGTCATTGAGAGAGAGCTATGAAGAAGGACAAGGCCTTGATTGAGCTAACAGTCTTAGCTGAATAAGATATAAAGTTGCCTGAAAGGAGGGACTTCACTGTACCTCTATATTCTTTCTCTTTGTTCTGTTTCTCTTTATTCTTTTGTTTCTTATAATAGATGGAGAGGAACCATCTATTATAACTACCTTAGTAACTTCATTCCCTTCCATGTTTCCCATCACTTGGTGTGTGCTTGTACAATTGTTCCAGCCTCTACCTTCCCTTATTTTTTCTCCCTCCATAAGATTGTCTCCCTGTGCTCCACTGCTCTTTTACAACTATTGAAATCCTATCTGAGTTTGAAAGGTCTGTTCAAGTCCCATTTCTTTCCTCCAGGAAGCATTCCCTGATAGCTCCTGCCCACAATCTGGACCTCTCAGGGCATCTGAGGTATGCAACTTACAATTTGGCACTTGGATGTTCTTATAACTCATGTGTGTGATTATAGTAACCTAGCAAACAATTTACAAAGAGTTTTAACATACCTTATCACAATGAAGCCTCATAAAAGCCCTGTGAATCAATTAAGACTGATGCTTATCTTCATTTTTCATTTTGGGGAAAAAAGTCTCTGAGGGTGAATGACTTCTCTGAAGTCACAAAGCTAGTGAGTGGTGAAAGACAATTGAAACCTTGTCTTCTGGTCCTAAATGCCATCTTCTTTCTATTAAATTATGTTGCTTCTTGAGGATTTGGTCCTCTGTCTTTGAATGTGTCATTTCTCCATGGATAGCACAGGGTGGTCATGTTGTAAAAAGTCAATACACTTGTTAAATTGACTAACTGAATGGTCTCTAGAATTTTTTTCACTGGATTTCTTTAAAGCTATGCCACACACACACACACTTCAAACAAAAATGAACATGTCCCAAATTAAGCTAATTATTAATGTATGAATTAACAACAAATACAAAAAATCAGAATGAAATTTATTTTTAAGTTGTAAGTGAACAAGAAAAAAGGTCAATAATAATACCTATACTTGCCACTCCTCGGAAGGAAGGTTGGGCAGTCTACTTTCGTAGTGATACCACTTCGGAAACCCAAGGAGGGGTCTCTATGAGTCAGGTCTGACTCAACAGCACATAACGACAACAACAATACTTGTAATGGGAGCTCTGGTAATGTGGCACCTAAGGCACTTGACTGCTAACCAGAAGCATGGTGGTCCAAACCCACCAGCCACTCCTCAGAAGGAAGGGTGGGAAATCTACTTCCATACTGATACCACCTTGGAAACCCAAGGAGGGGTCACTATGTGTCAGGGCCGACTTGATGGCACATAACAGCAACAACATACTTGTAATAACAATACTATATAAATATAACATTTATAGAGCCCTTACAATATGGCAGCCATGATAATAAGTGCTTTCACATACATTATCTCATTAGATCTTACCAACAAATTCTGATACACACATAGTGCTTATGCCCATTTTGCAGATAACGAAACTAAAACTTAAGGAATTTGTTGATTTGCCCCACACCACACAACTTGTAAGTGTCAATGACAAGATCTGAACCGATGTCTAATTCTAGAATCCTTCTACTTAGGTACTATACAGTAAGGCCCTGATCACTTTAAACCTGTAAAAGGAAGAGATCATTTAACTTAAAACCAAAACCAATGGAACATGAAGACTATCTTGTCCCTCTAGAAAACTGACATCAAAGATTATTTTTCTTCAGTAATGTGATAACTAACTGAATGCTATACTTTGCCATATAAGTTGATCTAGCCTCATTTTCTAAGTAACTCACTCCATGGGCATTAATGACTTACTAAATGACCTTTTACAGGATACAAAAGAAGTTCCTTATCTTTTCTCTTAAAAAGAAATATTAGACGTTCCAGTAAGATGGTGGAATAGGCAGACAAACTACACAGACCCTCTTCAACAAAGAAAAGAGGAACCAATTAACACTGATCCAGAAGATAATCCTGGAGCCCTGAGCTTTGAAAGGAAGGATACAAAAGTGGACTAAACTCCAACTAGTAGAAGAACCTGCATGAAAGCACTGAAAAAGGAGACATATGGAGCTGTGAACTGTTAGCGATCCTGACAGAACAGACAGCTTGGTTACTGCCAAGTGGTGTTAGGACCTAAGAATTAAACTAAAAATCGGTTCTGTTAACCAGGGGCTGCATGGAGGACTGCACTGGAGGCTGATGAATAGAAGGGGAAGCAGAGAAGAGGGAGGCAGGCTGAGTTGTGGAGTTTCAGCTGTCCAGAGGACACAGCCATTTTGAATGTTTATAAACTGTTAGAGTATTTTGGATATTTAAAGTGACAGCGTTCTCTCAGATTCCAGAGACCTAATAACAGGCTCCATTTGCCAGATGGCAAGGACATTCTGGACACTGAGGACTGGAAAGGTGTGATATTCCCCTTGTTACTCTTACACCCCACATCCTCTTGGTGAATGGAGGTGCAAACATTCCTCACTCCCACCTACCTTCTGGACCGGCAGGAATTCCATCCCAGTCTATGTGCTCTGATGGAGCCT